AGCAGCAGGTGGGTACCCAGCAGTCAGCCCCCAGCACTCTTCCTTGCGCCTCCATCATATTCCCGCATCAGATCTGCAAACCCGGGGCAAGATGCCACTCAAGCAGGGCTATAACTGCCCCTTCCCCCTCCGGGCACTTCTGAAAATCCACATGAATGTGCCAGCCCTGGAGAGAAGACAGAGAAGGAACACGCAGGTTGGCACAACAGGACTGGAAATGTCGGGGTTTTTAAGTTGGATAGTGTTTTATTGTTCTGTTCTGTAATTTGTACTGATGTCACGTGGTTTTGGGTATCAAATATCACAACAAAAAGACTGGACTGTGTGGCGATGCTTGGAGACCCCCCTCATCTCTGATCCCCTCCCAGGCAGCAGCATCGCCAACACCCCAGCCCCAGCGCGCGTGCCCACCGCCCCCCCGTGAAACCCGTCAGCACTCCACCCAGCTCCGCAGCCTGCATCTCCCGCCCTTGGCCCCCCAGCCAGGTGACTGACAGCAGCACTGTGAACACCTCTGGCCTGAAGGTCCTGGTCTAGGCAACCCCCTGAACTTCTAAATATTCCTGGCCAAGCCCCCTGTTCTCTTTGGAACTGTGCTCTCGAAGCCCAGCTTAAGAACCTAAACCACGACAACCAATGTATTGGGAGGTTAATACATTCGGGGGATCACAAAGAAAGTCAGTTCAGAAATTCTTTTTTAAAATGACGATCTCAGGGCACCTGGGTGGCTCAGTTGGTTGAACTTCCGAACTGGGCTCCGGTTGCGATCTTGTAGTTTATGGGTTCAAGCCCCACGTTGAGCTGCTGCTGTCCATGCAGAGCCCACTTCAGATCCTCTGTCCCTGCCCTGCTCATGCGCTCTCAAAATAAATAAATAAAAATTAAATAAATAAATAAATAAAATGACCATCATCTCCCCCAAAGCCAAAGCACTACGCAGGAGCAGCCACGGCACGCCGAACAAACATTCCCCGGGCAGGACTGTGCTGGGCGCTGCACTAGGAACACGGCAGCAAACAGAACTGCCCCGCCCCACCCCACCCCATGGAGCGTGGACTCTGGTAGGAGAGACCCTGATAAGTCCCCTCAGCATGACAAATCCAGGTGCCACCCAAAAGAGGACAAGTGGAACCAGTCTGTTCCTGGAATGTTCCCTTCAGGACGGGGGTGAGAGGAGATGAACTGTCTATAACTGCTCAGAAAGGGGGATCAAGATAATGAGTCACTACTCAACTGTGGAATTTCACAACTGATTCATGACAAGAGTATTAACAGTGTCCAAATTAGTCGCCTACTATTTCAGAAACAGAGGAGAAATTAAATCTGTATTTCTTAGCATGTCACAAACAAACCCTACTTCATCTTTATTATTATTTTTTTTAATGCTTTATTTCTAGGAGAGAGAGAGAGAGAGAGAGAGACAGCTTGAGCAGGGGAGGGTCAGAGAGAGAGGGAGTCACAGACTCTGAAACAGGCTCCAGGCTCTGAGCTGGCTGTCAGCACAGAGCCCGACGTGGGGCTTGAACGCACGAACCGCGAGATCATGACCTAAGCGAAAGTCGGACGCTTAACCGACTAAGCCACCCAGGCGCCCCTTCATCTTTAATTTTTAAAGAGCTGTTACGGAGAGTAGCCCCCACCAGACAGGAGAGTAACCCCCATCAGGCATCTACTCCCATCTGGCAGCACCATACAAAGCAGCATGGGAACGTGATGGCGGCCTTTCCCCCTAAAGGTTTTCCAGAAAGGTACCAATTTTTGCATATTTTATCCCATCATCCCCATACAACTTCATATTATCCTAGGAACCCCAAGAGGATTCACCTTTTAAGTCACAAGGCAAGTGAGTGCCCTCAGCCTCTGTGTCCTCCACCCGCGCCCCCAGTTGGTCCCCTCGTTCTTGAGCAGGTCAAGGAACTTCTCTCAGGGTCCAATGGAGACAACAGGACGGGAGGTGCTTCCCTGCACCCAACAGAGTGCCTCGCACGCAGTAGGCGTTTTGTAACTCACAGATACAGAAAGAGCTGGCCGTCTGGGGATGAGGGAAGCCAGATTCCTTCTGTCCCTGCATCTGTGCTTTCTGTCGATCCAACCACTTCCTGGGACTAAATGCAGGTTCTGGCTTTGGTGCTTGGCAAACTGCCCTTCACGGGCCAACTCTAACAACCCTTCCTCTGGGAAACCTTTCTGGACACTTCTGTATCATGAAAACGACTGCTCTCTCCTTTATCTACTGTGCACTGATGAGGTCTCCCCATCAGGCTCGTGCCCAAGACCTGATTCTGATGAAGTCCGTCTCATATCTTTTCCTGGGCACCGAAGGAAGCAAACTACTGAGCACCCAGCTCTGGGCTGCGCGCGTTCCCACTGTTGTATTTATCACGATGACACGTGTGTTAGAAAGGCCCGATATCCTCCGAAGTGGTGTGAAAACCACAAGCTCTATTTTTCCTCTTTGTTTTTTAGCGTTTCTAATTTAGGAGCACAATGTGTACCTTGAAGCAAAAGTGGCTATACAATATTTGGTCGAACCTAAGGAAAGGGGGGGTGGGAGGGAACCCTAACCAGAAACCTTTCGCAGGAAACAGGAAGTGGTTGCCTCCCCGCCCCCATCCTGCACTTTAAGCATAACCCAACTACTTATTCTGTACAATTTAGGGGCAAGGGCATAACCTCAATCAAGGAATTTTTGAGCTGGAGGACAACCTCGAGGCCACGGAGCAGTCTCTGGCCAAACCGCAAGGTGGTGAGGCAGTGGCTCCGGTGGCCCGGGCCCAGCGGGAGCCAGTCCCTTGGCCAGGCAGCACAAAGGCAAGGTCTGGAATCCCAGGGACCCTGGTGAGGAATGCGCCGCATGCCTCGCAACCTGCAGGGCTCAGGGCTGGAATCCAGGCCCACATTGTCCTACTGAAACAGCTGACTAACAATGTCAGCTGGGGAATATTTTGATACCTTCAAATTGGGCCCCTGTAGGAAGAGGCTGCGCGAGCGGCCCTGGGACTGGAGAGCCCGAGGAATGGTACGCGAAGGCCACTGGGGGCCTGCCAGGGCCGCCCGCATTCCCCTCATAGCTGGAGAAAGTGGCTCCCCCCCCACAGCGGCTTCCAGATCCGCCCCAGTGGGCACCATCAGTCCTGACTCCAGAGAAACTTCCAGCTGTGAAGGGCTAACAAAGCTGGGGCTCTCTCCATTTGAATGTGAAAGACCCGCCTCAATCCAGGAAGGCCCTCAGGCCATAAAACCCTTCACACCAAGGCCAAGTGTCACACTTGTAAGAGGGTGTGATTTATAAATTGACAGCATCCACAAAGCTCCTTTTGTGCTCCTCCGTTAGTTAACAATTTATCTCCCCCCACGAACTCCCTGTGCTATTCAGATACAGCTTGACTGGGCCTCAGAAAGAAAGAAAAGAGGGAAAAAAGAAAAGGACCCAAGTTTTGGCCTAAACACCAATGTTCACTATGGATAATTACGGTCCTGTGAATAGACACTAAAATTAGGCCTTAACAATTCCTCGTATCACACTCACAGCAGCGACCTCTTCCAACGCAAACACACAGAGCACAAGGCTGGGACTCTCGGGCACAGGGAGCACCAGAGCCCCCACTCTGCGGTCTCTGCAGTCTCTCTTGTGGTCTCTGCACTCTCAGAACCCCCCCCCCCACCTGCTGTCAGAGAAGCTCCGACCAGCTGTTTTTCTCTCTTAACATTTCAAACTACAAAGCAAAGAGTAAATATGGGCTCGGTCGGGTCCTTCCTCAGCTCCACAAGACCAAGTCCGGCCCCTTCTGTCTCGTCTCCCCCATCGCATGGCTCCCGTCTAGGCTCCCAACGCTAGCTGCAGAGATCATCTCCCTTCCAAGTCCCTGCCCCTCCTCTCTCCATAAGATGCATTTAAACTACTGCGTGAACCAGATTAAAGACAAAAAACACACACCAGATAATAGCACTTGTCAACACTGAGGTCTTTCTTCTTAAAAGGTTATCTGGTGGAAAGACAACCCCAAACATTTCACCATAAAAAGGCAAAGCATATGCAATTTAAGCCTAAGGTATCTTCCTGCTCACTTAGGCAGGACCTTCCTAAATTATTTAACTATTCAAAAACCCTTTATTTTATGCAAAAGGAATGGCCTTTGCTCAAGAATCGTGGTTCTGATCCTGCACCAGATACTCAAGGCCCAAATGGGGCCGCACACCAAGCCAGTCCCGCAGGCATGTTTCCTCTAGCCTCCATGGGGTGAAAGAACAACATTCAAACCAAGGTGAACAGACTGTCAGTATTTAAAAGTCTGGGTCAGGGGCGCCTGGGGGGCTTAAGTCGGTTAAGCATCCAACTCCAGCTCAAGTCACGATCTCCTGGTTTGCAAGTTCGAACCCCGCGCCAGGCTCTGTGCTGACAGCTCAGACCCTAGAGCCTCCTTCACATTCTGTGTCTCTCCCTCTCTCTGCCCCTCCCATGCTTGTACTCTGTCTCTCTCTCAATAATAAACAAACATTAAGAGAAATTTAAAAAACTAGGGGCGTCTGGGTGGCTTAGCCGGTTGACTTTCGCTTAGGTCATGATCTCACGGTTCGTGGGTTCGAGCCCCGCGTTGGGCTCTGTGCTGACTACCAGCTCAGAGCCTGGAGCCTGTTTTAGAGTCTGTATCTCCCTCTCTCTCTGACCCTCCCCTGCTCATGCTGTCTCTCTCTCTCCTAGAAATAAATAAAAATATGAAAAAAAAAAGAGAAATTAAAAAAAATAAGAAATAAAAGTTTGGGGCAGAGCCTATAAGAAACATACATTTCCAATTCTGTGAAGAATTCATACTCCGCATCACCGGGTCCCTACTCGTTCATGGCAAGAGCTGGCTGGCACTAAGCACCAGCCGGGGTTGTCCAGACCACTCCTCCCCCTTCAAGACTACATGCTTGCTTCCCCTGCGTGCAGATGTAACTGCCTGTCCCCTACGAGGCTCCAAGGTTTCTGACCTTTGACTCCTTCACAGTACACGTACCTTTTTGACCATAGTTGTTTCAGATGAATCAAGTTTTGCTCTCTTGGTATCAGGTCCATCTTCTACCCCTTGACTAACTTTGGCAACTTTGGTTTTCTCCCTAGAGGGTCACAAAGGGAGGGAATTGAGTTCTACTCTCTGAATCATGCCATTAGAACAAAAAGAGCATCCTCAGCTCACAGAACAGGATGGTGATTAAGAGCAAAAGCTTTGGTGTTAGGCAGATCTGGGTGGATTCAAATCCCAGAGTGGCCAAACCTAATAAATAAATTACCTACTACGTGGGAGTAACAATCCCTGACAGAATTACTGTAAGACAAGAAATAAGAGTGGTGTAGGGCACCTGGGTGGCTCAGTCGGTTAAGCGTCCAACTCAGCTCAGGTCATGATCTCGTGGTTCGTGGGTTGGAGCCCCACCTCGGGCTCCGTGCTGAGAGCTAGCTCAGAGCCTGGAGCCTGTTTCAGATTCTGTGTCTCCCTCTCTCTGATCCTCCCCTACTCACACTGTCTCTCTCTTTCTCTCAGAAATAAATTTTTTTTTTTAAAGTTAAAAATTAAAAGAAAGAAAGAAAGAAAGAAAGAAAGAACAGGGGCATCTGGGTAGGTTAGTCGATTGAGCGCCAGACTATTAGTTTTGGCTCAGGTCATGATCTCAAAGTCAGTGAGATCAAGCCCCGCATCGGGCTCTGTGCTGTCAGCATGGATTCTGCTTGGGATTCTCTCTCTCTTGGGAGTCTCTGACCCTCTCCTGCTTGTGCACTCTCTCTCAAAATAAATAAATAAACTTAAAAAAAAAAAAAAAAAGACAGTAATAAATTGCTTAGCACACGCTGCCTAGCACATAGCAAGTTCTCAATAAGCTTTATAAATTTCGCTTGAATCATGCAATAAAGAGCCAAACTTCATTCCTCCCCTCTACCATGGGGAGCTCATATTAAAACAACCTGGCCTGCTTTTCTCTACTCTAACTTCCCTATTTATAGTGTGCCAAAAGAACCAGAGTTCCTGAAAGCCATAAAATGCCAAAGTTATGAGAAATCTTGAACATGTCTGTCCTTCCCTTATCTTGATTTTACACTCAAGACACTTGCAGACCAGGGGTGTCTGGGGGCCTCAGTCGGTTGAATGTCGAACTCTGATTTCAGCTCAGGTCATGATCCCAGGGTCATGGGACTGAACCCTGCAGTGGGCTCCACGGTAAGCTTGAAGCCAGCTTAAGATTCTCTCTTTCCCCCTGCCCCTCTCTTCAGTTTGTGCTCCCTCTCTCTCTCTAAAATACAGAAATACTTTTTTTTTAACTTAAAAAAAGGAAGGGGCCCCTGGGTGGCTCAGTCGGTTGGGCGTCCGACTTCAGCTCAGGTCATGATCTCACAGTTTGTGGGTTTGAGCCCCGTGTCAGGCTCTGTGCAGACAGCTCAGAGCCTGGAGTCCACTTCAGATTCTGTGTCTCCCTTTCTACCTGCTCCTCCCCTACTAACGCTCTGTTTCTCTCTCTCAAAAAAAAAAAAAAAAAAAAAAGGAAAAAACAAAACAAAACAAAAAAGAAAGAAACTTACAGACCAGAGAAATTTCAGTGATTTTTCTAAGCTGAACAAAAGAAGGCAGTACTTGGGGCGCCTGGGTGGCTTAGTCGGTTAAGCATCCGACTTTCGCTTAGGTCACGATCTCGAGGTTCGTGGGTTTGGGCCCCGTGTCGGGCCCTGTGCTGACTGCCAGCTCAGAGCCTGGAGCCTGTTTCAGTCTGTGACTCCCTCTCTCTCTCTGACCCTCCCCTGCTCACGCTGTCTCTCTCTCTCTCCTAGAAATAAATAAAAAAAATTTAAAAAATAAATAAATAAATAAATAAATAAATAAATAAAAAAGAAGGCAGTACTTGATTCTTGGTAGGAAGCTTCACCTACCACACAGGGTCTTTCTTTACCTCTTATTAGCAAGGGACATATAAGAAACAACAGCCAAACACCTACCACAGCGTTTTACCACACTGGTATCATCTGTCATCTCTCATCTAGAAGCTGCAAGTTCAAACCCCACTGCAGGTCCCGTCAGGTGAGAACTGCCGCGGTCTGCAACCTTGATATTCAAAATGAGAGGATGAGGTCCATCTGTCCCACCAAAACACTGTCTGGCCTTTGGAGTTTTCCCAGGTAGACTCTGGCTGAGTGCGCCTCGAGTTACCCACCTGACTACTCTGTACTCAACTTTACTATCAACCTGAAAACACAGAAGCCGAAACTGAGAAAGACAATCCAAGCCTCCTCCCCTACGCAGGAGGGGTGTGGTCACCACCTGAAGTCCAGGCTCGTCAAATTCCACGTGGTATACTCTGACTGACTTAAGAACTCTGCTTTCTTTAGGATTTAGATCAGAACATGATTTCAGAAGGCAGAGGCCACATCTCCTATAATTCTGAACACACAACCTGTATAATCAGTAAGCTGGTCATGAACTGGTTCCTGAATATTTTAAGAATATCTTCCTTAGATGGGCTGTTTCCCCCCAGTGAATAAAACTTTATTTTTTTTAATGTTATGTTCTCCCCTCCTCTCCCAAAACTTACTCTACGAATTCATGCTCTCCAAGATTGGCAAATGTGTATCCATGGTAGCCAAAAACGTCTCCTGTAAAAAACTTGATGCTATTTTTGTGACAGATCTGGTCAACTTTAACTATGACATCCCTGGAGCAGCAAGTCAGACAAACCTGCAGAAAGAAAGAATTCGCTGGGTGTGAGTTTTGCAAGGTGTGAATCACTGCCCTGATGTCTACATAAATCTTAATGAGCAGTCTCTCTGGGCGCGTCTCAGGCCAGCAGCGAACTGGCAGAACAGGTTCTTCGGAACCTATGGTTAGAAGACAAAAGACAAGCTACAGCTTTCAGGAGAAATGTAAATGGGAAGACCCCCGCTTTCTGCAAGCAAACCAGAACAGGGTTAGCTAGAAAGTAAAAGCCATTCAATGAACTGATTTCCCCTATTCTGTAAACATAAACAAACCACATCTTGTTTCCACGAAGTGGAAAAAAACAGTAACAATTTAGTGTAAGTTATTTCTAAATTACTTAATTAAAATCTGAATAAGCTATCACAAGAAGGGATACCAGTTTTAAGTAACCCAAAGGTCACATTTAAATATGAGGGCATTTCCCCCCTTCTTTTGATTGATATGTTAAAAAAGATAAGCCCCATCGAGATTATTTTTCCACAGTTTTCCAAGTGAAACTTTATCTGAATCTGAGGACAAAAGAAAAGGTTACACACCAAGTGATCTTCCATTCAGACACCGACAATGAACTGGTGATTCACTCAATGGAATCATCAGTGTTTCTCTGAGGCCCCTAGACTGTGTTCCAGTAAGATGAGGCACTGGAAATAGCAAAGCTTTACTACATAAAACACCATCTTTTCAGAAGAAACTCTGTGAGAAGCGCCATGAAAACAAGTTCCAAATTCCACGTTCTCTTCTAAACCTAGGAAGCTGGAGAAGTTGTTACATTAGGATATTTTCATCTGACAGACCCTCTTTGCTGCTGTCTGGCCACCTGAAGACCGAAGCAGCCCACAGATCTGGGTGCCTCTGGGGTCACTCAAAGGATGCGGCCACCTAAGGGGAAAACCACATCTACAAGGCAAGACGGCCACGGCAGAACACGCAATCAAGTGACCAAAGGGAACCACCGTGCAGAGTCAAAAGTGAGTGTAAAGCCTCCGAGGACCAGTCAGACACGGCCCAATGAGGCAGTCACCTCGCCCGTGCACAGGCTGTATACAAGCAACTGGGCCGGTGCTTCCGTTATAAGAAACCCTCTCTCTCTAGGTGCTAGAAATTCGAAGGGCAGCTAGAATTAACTAAATGTGGTTACTATGGATAAAGAAATGAAGAGAAGACAGTCCAGACAGTCCAAACAGTAAATGTTCCAATACTTGGAAGATACAAGATAGAATGAATTAAAAAAAAAAAGGAAGACAAAACGCACAGATGATCTGTCATTCCAAGCACATATCTCAACAGATGCACATATGAAATATAACAATGTGGAAAAACAAACTACCCAACCCAAATCCTAACCTCTCAAGTAATGGGCCTTTCGTTTAAAAAAACAAGTAGATCATCTGTGACTATTTCATGGTTATCCAACATTTGTTTAGCCTTTCCTGGGTCCAGGGAACCATGTCTAAAAGGTCACAGACGCTGGATCCGAACTGAACTTATCCTTTCACCTCTCCACAGATCTGGCAGTGAAACCAAATGAGGTTGGATATGCCTCATTTGGCTTACGACTAGTGAATTTGTCTCGTTATCCACAGCAATGTGGTCAAAGTGGCGTGTGAAAGAGACAGACACGGACCAGGATCAGGTGTGCTCTTTTTTAAAGACAAAACACAAGCTGTGGTTTGGTATTTCTAACAAAAAGAAAAGAAAAAAAAAAGGCCTCTACTACAGAAATTAACCACCAACTTGTTTTCAGGAGAAAACATTCGCAATAAAACGTACCAAGGCTATGTGCAAAGATTCTGGAAGGAACACAAAACATCAATGATGAAACCTGGTCTAAGGGAACATATGCCCAAAGAAGAAACCAGCAGACAGCAAATCACAAAGAGCCACAGCAGATCCAACAGACTGGATCTACCTACCAACACATTCCATGTGGAAAGGCAACCTGCGAATAAAGCACACACACTAAGGCACTACAACACCTGAAACTACAAAGACAATGTACTAGGCCTCAAGATTTTACACCCTTTATGAAACTTACAGCATCGAACTGAGTGAAAAATGACTCCGGTTTCTTTTCTATATTCTCAGTGTCCACTTTCACATCCACCATGGGGTTGAGATTCTGGGCTCGCTCCAAAGAGGCTTCGGCCCTATTTCGGCCGACAGACCCAGTACGGACCAGGAAGTGTGCTCCGGGGTCTTCTGGAGATACCTAGGAATAGTACTTTCTTTAATGCTTGAATTTTGGGGAGAAAACAAATGTTCAAAGACAACGAACCCTTCCATTTTAAAGCATAACTAAAATAGCTCAATTTAGTTGTATTACCGTTCTGGCAGGAATCTGCCTAATGTACATGCCATACACTCAATCCTTCAGAGGTTTTCAAGTAGTGACATTTAACTTTTTTTACTTGGCACTGATAGTTAAAGAGCACCCCCTAGTGTTTGTAAAGAAAATTCACTCTAAACAGAAAGTCCACTCCTTCAACTTCCAGTTGTAATTGCCAATAAAATGACACAATTATCAGTGCTAAGAATTTACCAAATACTTACTATGTGTCCAACTTTAAGGATACTTCTAGACAAACAATAGTAGTTTAAAGGATGTAGTCCCTGCCTAAGATTGGTTTAAAATCAGACCAGTGAGGGGCACCTGGGTGGCTCAGTAGGTTAACCATGTGACACTCGATTTCATCTCAGGTCATGAGCTCACAGTTTTGAGATCAAGCCCCACATGGGGCTCCACAATGACAGCACAGAGCCTGCTTGGGATTCTCTTTCTCTCTCTCTCCTCTCTCTGCCCCTCCCCTACTTGTTCTTGCTCTATCTCAAAATAAATAAACCTTTAAAAAAATTTTTTTTAAAAATCAGACCAGTGAGGGGCATCTGACTGGCTCAGTCTAAAGAACATGCAGCACGGGGCACCTGGGTGGCTTAGTTGGTTAAGCGTCCAACTTTCGCTTAGGTCATGATCTTGTGGTTCGTGGGTTTGAGCCCCGCGTCAGGCTCTGTGCTAACTGCCAGCTCAGAGCCTGGAGCCTGTTTCAGAGTCTGTGTCTCCCTCTCTCTCTGACCCTCCCCTGCTCACGCTGTCTCTCTCTCTCTATCCTAGGGGAAAAAAAAAAAAAAAAAAAAAGAACATGCAGCTCTTGATCTCAGGGTCCTGAGTTCAAGTCTCATGTTTGGGTGTAGTTACTAAAAATAAGTAAGCTCTATAAATGAATGAATAAATAAATGAATAAATAAAATCATCCACCAGAGTAAAAATCAAACACAATTAAGAATCCTTGAGGTGGCTTAGTCGGTTAAGCGTCCAACTTCAGCTCAGGTCATGATCTCACAGTTTACGGGTTCGAGCCCCACGTCGGGCTCTGTGCTGACAGCTAGCTCAGAGCCTGGAGCCTGTCTTCAAATTCTGTGTCTCCCTTTCTCTCTCTGACCCTCCCCTGCTCATGCTATCTCTCTCTCTTTAAAAAAAAAAAAAAAAAATGCTTGAAACGTGGGGCGCCTGGGTGGTCAGTTGGCTAAGCATCCGACTTCAGCTCAGGTCACGATCTTAAGTTTGTGAGTTTGAGCCCGCATTGGGCTCTGTGCTGACAGCTCAGAGCCTGAAGCCTGGTTCAGATTCTGTGTCTCCCTCTCTCTCTGCCGCAGCCTCCCCACTCGTGCTAGGTCTCTCTCTCTCTCTCAAAAATAAACATTAAAAAAAAATGCTTGAAATGAACTCTTAAATTCAATTAAAATTCATAAAGGAGAGAAGAGTGGGGCTGGAGCCAAGGGAGGGTCTCACCCACAAGGCTGGATGTCGGCAGAGGAGAGCCTTAAAGCCAGATAATACAACCACCTGACAGCTGCCAGCAGGGTTAGACTCCATACTGTTCACAGAGCTGTTCTTTACACATCAAGAATCTAATTTCACCATTAATCTCCAATATGACCTTGCTACCTTCATTAAGACTGGATTCAATACAAGTAATATCCCTCCTTTCCTCTGGCCAACTATCCAGAGCACATACTTGCCCTTACTACCTTTCCTCCAAGGAAAGGAGCTGGTCCTCCTCCCTTTCAAGGCCAGCCCTCTAACAGTCTCCTTGACCCTTCCTGTCCTGCTTCTTCAGGGATCTCATTATGCACTGAGAGACTGTACATCATAGTGGTTAAGAGCAAGGCTCTGGAATAATTCAGGCTGCATTCAAATTTTTGGCTTAACCACTTAACTGTGTGACTTTAAGCAAGTGAGTACATGGGAATCACATGCAAAATGAGGTTAATAAAAACAGTCCACTGACTAATCACTCTATCAGTGCTACTCTGCTCCTCCCCCACCGGACACCCAATCTTCCCATGGGCCCTCTTGGGTGTGGCATCCCCAGGATTCCATCTCAGAATCACTCATCTTTCCACTTGTCGTAGCTCCATGCTCACTGCTTCTTTTGTTCTTACTGGTACAGATTGCTTCCTGATCCATCTGAGTTTTATATTAAACTGCCCACCAGATATTTCTTCCAGGGTTAAGTCCATAGGCCCTTCATATTCTACCCATTTTTTTTTTTTTTTGTCTATTGATGGGCCTACCAACTATCCATACAGTCACCTGAGCCAGGAACCCAGTCTTTACACCCTTTATATTTCCCTGAAAGCAGCCACCTGCTGAGGTGGCTAAGAGCATGGGCTCTACAAAAGAGTCAGACTGCCTGGGTCCTGGTCAGAGCAACTACTGTGCCCTTGGGTGGGCTAGCAATTCACTTCCCTTTCCTAATTCTCTTATCTGTAAAATAGGGATGATGATCTCTGCATCTCAGAGTCGTTGTGAGGACCTGTGAGGACAGAGGTACTACAATTACTGTTCCTAGAAGAGTGCCCAGCACCTTGAGGAAGCACCCACTGCGGCAGTGATTCCTTGCCTTCCCTACGCTCCCACATCCAAGCCTACTGATTCTAGCTTCTAGCATTTTCACCTCGGTGTGCCTCCTGCCATTTCTCTCACTGTGCTGTTACTCAGGCTCTTCTCATCTCTCACCTAAACTGCTAAAGCAGCCTTCTACCTAAGTGATGTTCTGCCTCAGATCTTGTACCAATTATAAACAGTAGCTAGTGATCTATAAAGAGCCCAAAATTGACCAGGTCACCCGTGCCATATGTGAAACTCTTTAATGAAATCCTCACCACCTAGAGGACGGAGTACAAGCTTGCAGCAAGGCTAACTAACAGGCTCTTCATGATTTGGATCTCACCTGCAGCCTGTATCCACCCCCACCACTTTGGGCTTCATATTCTAAATAAACACCGATTAGCACTGCTTCGTATATTCTATTTCTACCGTGCTGTTCTGTGCCACTGCTAATGTTTCCTGCCTAAAATACAGTCCCTCAACTTGAGAAACGTCTACTTGTTCTTTAAGCCTCAACTAAGATCACAGCTCCAAGAAGCCGTTCGTCTCCTCCTACCACAACCTGAGTCGGGTAGGCTGCTCTTTCTGAACTAAACCCTGAGACTGGGAACCAAATCTTGTGCATCTTTGGATCACACGGATCTAGAATGCTTCAGGGCAGCCAGCAAGTACTTTTGCATGTTTGCTGACATACACAAGATGAAAACCTCTGTAGGGCAGGAATTAATGTCCTTGATGAACAAACTGAGGGGTGCCTGGCTGGCTGAGTCGGTAGAACATGAGACTTTTAATCTCGGGGTTGTGAATTCAAGCCCTACACTGGGTACAGAGATTACTAAAAAAAATAAATTAATTAAAGACAAAAAAAAAAGTTTAATAGATGAGCAAGCAGAGTCTCTGAGAGGTTAAGAGACTTAACTCAGCTTGAAGAGGTAGGATTTGAGCCCAAACCTGCATAATTCCAAGCTTTCGCACATTGTAGCATGGTGTCCCTGAGATGTTCCCAGTCAGGGGAAAAAAGCACAAGCAAAGGGCAGAACCACCAACCAAAGAGTGAGTGTCCATGAACCGCTAAACGTATGAGGTGGAAGTCAGGCTGGGTAAGTTGACTGGGCGCAGGTTATACGAAGCCAGTAGTTCTCAACCCTCCCTGACTTTTAGCCTCCCTCAGAGAACAACCCATCCCCCCAATATGGGACTGAGAACCACTGTGTTGGGCCTAGAAAACCAGTCAGAAGAGTTAGGCTTTGCAATGGAAGGCAGCCAGAGAGCCCTGTAAGTCCTCAAAGCAGAGAGGGAAGGTAGAAAGGTCGGCCTGGTCACTGCAACACTGGTGGCACGTGTCACTGGACTGAGACAGTGACAGCATGGTTCCCCATTCTCAGGCACTCCCAACCAGATGAGGAAGTCACCATCCCCACCTGGTCCCACTTTGCCACACCAAGGGCCTCCACATTCAGAAACCCTCCTTCCTCGCAAACAAACTCTCCCTCCAGATACCTCCAGGGGGCACTGTGGTTGGGGAAATGTCAAAAAGGCAAATGTTCAGACAATAATCTGGCAGTTTGCTTGTAGGAATTTTCTTTCCTTAGAAGGTTTTGAATTCAAGTCAAAAATCAATTTGTGACTGTGATATTAAGTGGGCTAACCCACGTCTCTTCAATGCAAGACAATTAAAAAAAAAAATCCAGGTATTATCTTTCTCCTAAAACCCAAACAAGATGAGCTTGAAAAAATTTTATTTGGGGGGCACCTCAGTGGCTCTGTGGGTTAAGCGGCCGACTTGATTTTGGCTCAGGTCACAAGCTCACAGATCATGGGATCAAGTGCAGAGCCAGCTTGGGATTCTCTCTCCCACTCTCTCTGCCCCACCGTTATGAGCACGTGCACGTGCATTCTCTCTCACTCTCTCTCTCAAGATAAATGTTTTAAATTTTTCATGAAAATTTACCTTCTTCCACAGAGCCTATGCCTGTGTGTGTGCTAGTTACTTAGTACGAAACAAGACCCCTCTATTTGTAGCCTGTAAGTAAAGACACAAATAAGTATCATGTGATGACACAATCTTTAGAGATTGTTTTTTTCTTTATTGCTGAGGGAGTAAGAGCGTGGGCAGGGGAAGAGCAGTGAGAGAGGGGGACAGAGGGTCCAAAGCCCTCTCTGCGCTGACCAGCAGAGAGGCCAACACGGGCCAGAACTCACAAACCACAAGATCATGACCTGAGCCAAAGTCGAACACATAACCAACTGAGCCACCCAGGTGCCCCTAAAGCTTCTGTTAAAAGATTTTATTAGGGGGGCGCCTGGGTGGCTTAGTCGGTTAAGCGTCCGACTTTCGCTTAGGTCATGATCTCGCGGTTTGTGGGTTCGAGCCCCGCGTCGGGCTCTGTGCTGACTGCCAGCTCAGAGCCTGGAGCCTGTTTCAGAGTCTGTGACTCCCTCTCTCTCTGACCCTCCCCTGCTCATGATATCTCTCTCTCTCTCTCCTAGAAATAAATAAAAACATTTAAAAAAAAAAAAAAAAAGCTTTTATTAGGGGCACCTGGGTGGCTTAGTCGGTTAAGCATCCGACTTTCGCTTAGGTCATGATCTCGCGGTTCGTGGGTTCAGGCCCCACATCGGGCTCTGTGCTGACTGCCAGCTCAGAGCCTGGAGCCTGGGGCCTGTGACTCCCTCTCTCTCTGACCCTCCCCTGCTCACGCTGTCTCTCTCTCTCTCTCTCTCTCTCCTAGAAATAAATAAAACATTAAAAAAAGTCTAAAAGATTTTATTAAAAAAAATATATATATTTTTTAATTTTATATATAAAAAAATATATACATATATACTTTTTTTTTTTTAAAGAGGGGGCACCTGAGTGGCTCAGTCAGTTACACACATGATCTTTCATGGGTTCGAGCCCCAGGTTGGGCTCTGGGCTGACAGCTCAGAACCTAGAGGCTGCTGTGGATTCTGTGTCTTCCTCTCTCTGCCCTTCCCCTGCTTGTATGCGCACTCTCTCTCTCTGTCAAAAATTAATAAACATTAAAAAATTTTAAATAGGGGCGCCTGGGTGGCTTAGTCGGTTGAGCGTCCGACTTTCGCTTGGGTCATGATCTCACGGTGTGTGGGTTCGAGCCCCGCGTCGGGCTCTGTGCTGACTGCCAGCTCAGAGCCTGGAGCCTGTTTCAGTCTGTGACTCCCTCTCTCTCTGACCCTCCCCTGCTCGCGCTGTCTCGCTCTCTCTCTCTCTCCTAGAAATAAAAAAAACATTTAAAAAAAAAAGAATTTTAAATAAAATAAAAAATAAAATGCTGTCAAAAAAATACAAGTGAGAAATACAGATAAAGAGAATAAAAATTGGTCTCTGTATAAGCCAGGTAGGTAGATGGGGTATCAAATGTTATTCTACTTCTGTATATATTTAAGCTTTTGTATAAAAACAAATTAAAATGTTTTTTTGAAAGTTAAAATGCTGTAGCATGAGAATGTATAGAAAGAAGTTATTTTCACCTTGGAGAAACTGGTCACAGAAAGATACATAGGAGTTGGGAATGACCATTATAGTAACAATTAAATGGTCTATCATGTAACTATTATCAGACGCTTACTATGGCAAGTACTATGCTAAGCAGTCTGGATACATCTCTCTGATCCAACATGTTTCAAAGTCATGTCTGTGAACGATAAACAGGAAGCTCTTCTGAGACAGCTTTCAAATGTACAGATTTCGGAGCATCACCTCAGACCTCCTAAAGCCAAATCCCTGGGAGTGATGGCTCTCCGGGGACAAAGCCCCGAGGCACGTTTGCACTTTCAGTCAGTCATGCAGGTGGTGTACAGGCACATGGCAGAAAACCACCCACTCTCCTCCCCACGGTCACCCTCCAAGGGAGAGAGTAACACACTTTACACACAGGCAAGCTCAAGGAGGAGACCGGTCAACCCCCTAGGATGTGCCAGTGCCATCGGGCCCAAGGCCACAGCTCCACTAATGCCAGCCCTCCTTGCACAGCCTGCCAAGGGCAATTCAGAGTAGAAATTCAGAGAATCTTCAAGTGTTTATATTTGTACTAAAGAGAGGAGACCGTGAAGAAAGAGTGATGAGGTGGCCAAACATCTCACCTGTTCAGGATCCAACATGGTCAGTCCTTTCACTCCCGCCAGAATGAGATTCTTGGCAATTTCAGCCCCGAGTCCTTTCATGCCAACAAGCAGCACCCGCGAGGCCCGCAGCCTGTAAGGCAGACAACTGTTAACCAGATGCCACGTAACAGTGGAAGCTTCATGGAGTCATTAAGAAACAAATCAAGTTAAAATAACAGCAAAGTGATTTGTTTTCATTAAATGCATGGAAGCACCATGGCCTCAAATCTAGGAAAGAGACAGGCTCTAATCTACCCTGCAAAGAACAATTCATTCAGCAAACATTTACTAAGCACCTACTATGCCAGGGACTCCTCTAAGGTATAGAAATGCATCAGTAAACAAGATGGACACAATCCCTGCCCTCCTGGAGCTTACATTTTATGACAGAGATAGACACATATATGATATGCCAGGAAGCGATGAAAATCAGGGCGCCTGGCTGGCTCAGTCGGTAGAGCACATGACTCTTGATCTCAGGGTTGTGAATTCAAGCCCCATGTTGGACGCAGAGATTACTTAAAAGAGTGATGAAAATCAAGCAGGATATGGATCAAGAATGATGGAGGACTGCATGCACACCGAAGGCCTTTCTGAGAAGGTGCTGAGCAAAAAGCAAAATGAAATGAAGGATGAATATACAGATTTCTGGGAGAAGAGCATTCCAGGCAGAGAAACAGCAAGTGCAAAAGCCCTGAAGGCAGACGAGCGCATGGCATGTTGCAGGGACAGGAAGGACGGAGCGGCTAAAGAATAGTGAGCAAAGGGAAGAAGAGGAGATGCATCACAGACAGAACCAGAGGCCATATCATGAATGCTCTCCCAGGTACTGTAAGGGCTCGATCTTACTCTGAACACAACAAAAAGCCATGGAAGGGGGGTCACTTGGCGGGTGAAGGGTGTCACAGTTAAGAAGAGGACGATGGCCTGGACTAGCTTGATAGCAGAAGAGAAGGTGAGAAAACGTACTATATAGGTTGTCACACACAAGCAAAACTGTGGCAGCATGAAAGAGGGTGTATATGCAAAGTGTTCAGATCATTCTAGTCTGTAAAGTGACAGAAAATGAGGCTGAAAAAAGGTAGTCAGAGGTCGGGCTGTCTCAAGAAGTCTGGACTTAGGGGTGCCTGGGTGGCTCAGTTGGTTGAGTGTCCCTGACTTCAGCTCAGGTCATGAGCTCACACTTCCTGAGTTCAAGCCCCACATAGGGCTTGCTGCTGTCAGCCTGTCAGCAAGAGCCTGCTTTGGATCCTGCCCCCTTCTTTCTGCCCCTCGCCCCACTTACACTGTCCCAAAACTAAATATGTATTTTTAAAAAAGAAAGAAAGAAAAAGTCAGTGGAAGGCAGTACAGCTCCACAAAATCTTAACTGAAATCCCTTTACCCAGAAGTGTTTCAGAATCAGGACTTTTTGGAATTGGTTTACATCATATTCTATGTAACAACTCCATCAGGGTCAGGCAGCACCCTGTAATCAAGCCCATTAATATTTTTGCACCAAATGTAGGACTATTCACACTGAAAAGGGTTAGTTAGAACTAAGAATGGTCTCACCTAAATTCAAGCTTGGCTAGCCAACGAGTTTGCTCTTAATTTATGAAATGAGACCATTTTCAACTTGCACCAGTATTAGGAAGAACATGCAGAAAAGAAACTCTTCCAAAAGTGGTCCTAAAAATTAGGGGCACTTGCATATAATCAGATTAGAGGCCTTTAATGAGGATGGTGGCTGATAAAAGAGAGGGTCCTGCACGGATTCTAGCAGATACTGGATTTCCTTCACTAATATAACCAAAGGGTAAAATGTGGGGAGGGAGAGCATAGGGACAGTATTTCCCTCAAAGGCATATGTCTGGATCTCAGCTTCTCTATTATCTCTTTTATTCTATGGGGACCTTCCACCGCCAACCACAAGCTAGCGGACCACAGGCTTTCAAGTGTCAATTCCACTTTGTTAGAAGGGACTTGGAAAGAGGGCTTACAAGATACAAGCAAGGTAAATAACAGATGTTAGCAATGAGCACATTGCTTACCAGAGATTTATACCAGTGGGTGGAGGGAGGAAGAAAGGCCATGTGGCTTTCCAGAGGAGCTCCAATCCCTCCAGAATTAGCACATATTAATAGGCAATGTTTCCAAAAAGAAACTTTGATGTCAGAAAGGTTGAACACTCTTGCATTTGGCTGTAGCTTCCAGGGCTCTGGAGTCACTGTCAGTCTATACGTCTTCCCTGACACTGTCTCTCCCCACCACCAAATCCCAAGGTGCCAAGTTCCCTTTCAGTCCAAGGGCCCAGCTCTCTTCTAGGAAGCCGTTCCTTCAAACAAAACCAACAGCCTCCTAATCCCTAGACCCACTAAATTCCTCTCAGGCTGTGTTCTCGCTGCGGTGCCTTCAGCAATGGGCACTGCCAATCACTAAATGCCCTCTAGGTCTGGAGACTTAGGTTTGAATTCTGGTTCTGCCACTTCCCAGCTGGGTGACATGGACAAGCTGCACAATCTCTCTAAACTTCAGGTTTTTCATCTGTAAATTGAGGGATACCAGTTCTGAAATTATGTCAATTAATCCCGTCAACAACTTGGTAAAATATGTGTGCAAAAGCATCTAACATAATTCGTGGCATGTAACAGATGCTCAAGATATGTTACTTCAACTTACTGAACTCCTCAATCCCACTACTAAAGGGCTCAGTGGTAGGCATGACTCTGCTCTGATTTTCAAAAAAAAAAAAAAACCAACCCTGACAAAATCAATTCTAAAGCTGCATTTGAACCCCTTCGGTACTGGCTCCCTTCCACCTGCGCAGCTCTCTCCCCTACCACCACCAGGTTACCGCCGCCCAGACCTGCTTTCCATTTATTCCCCCCCACCCGCCAACTTTACACCCCAGCATTCCACACTCCTGAAATTCTCTCTCTTTCTCTCTAGGCCGAGTCAAACTTGTCCCCAGACTTCAAACCCCAATTGAAATGCCATGTCCTCAAAAAGTCCCCCTCACCATGGCCGACTCAAGTGCACACTCCCTCCTCTGAGCTCTTAGAGCACTGTGACATATAAATGCCTCTGACATAAATCATGTTTAGCCATGTGGCCTCTGCAAGATCCCTACATCCTACAGAACTCTAAACTCTTAACTGCTTGGGAGGGTTTTTTAATTCAACTGCCATCAATACTGAATATCACATTTGTTATTTAATCCTTAACCATGCTAAAGGCCCTGAGCCGACAGCTTACTTATGGCTCAATTACATGAACAGTACTTAAAATAGCACCTGGCACACAGTCAGCACTTAATGTCAGCTATTAGTATTCATACCCTGATGTAGGAGTTCCCCTTCTAGGAATCAGTACTAGAAATACGCCGGTGGCATAAAGATCACATACAAAGCCACTCACAGCAGCATCCATCCGCTTCCTTCCACCACCACGGCCGCCATCGCTTCTCACCTGCAAAACTACAAGAGCTTTATCCCTCGTCTCCCTGCTTCCATTCTTGCCCCTACAATCTGCTGTCCCTGCTCAGGAAGAGAGATCTTTTACGACCAGATTATGCCACTCTCCTGCTCAAATCTTTCATGGCTCCCTAGGCAAGCTCCTCACCCAGAGCCCCACGTCCCGCTCTCCTCATGGCTCTTCCTACTCTCCCCGCTGCTAATCTGCCCACGGCCAGGCTCGGGCATCCGTTGTTCTCTGCTTCTTCCTCCACCTTTTCACGTGAGCAATTCTTTAGGCCAACCCACTGTCACCACATTAGAAGCCCACACTGGCCACTTAATCCAAAATTATGTCCACACGCTCTTTTATCTGGAATTTGTTTATTATGTTCACTGTCCACTTCTCCACTGGAAGTAAGCTCCAGAAACCACGGTATCCCGGACACCTATGATTGTGCTTGGCACTTAGTATACCGTTATTCAAACAGCTACTGAATTAATAGAATACATCAAAAGAAACCCAGTGTCCATCCGCAGAATTACATAAATCTACTACATTGTAAAATAGTAACAACTAACGTTTACTAAGACTCCCTATGCGCTGGGGCACCTGGCTAGCTCCATCAGTAGAGCATAGGATGCTTGATCTTAGGGTTGTAATTGGAGCCCCACGTTGGATATAGAGATCACTTCAAAATAAAGTCTTAGGGGAGCCCGGTGGCTCAGCTGGTTGAGCATCTGATGCTTTGGTTTCGGCTCAGGTCAAGATTTCCCAGTTCTTGGAATTGAGCCCCGCAGCGGGCTCTGTGCTGACCACGAGGAGCCTGCTTGGGATTCATTCTCTCTCAAATTAAATAAATAAAACCTTTAAAAAAAGACTCTACGCGGGGCGCCCGGGTGGCTTAGTCAGTTAAGCGTCCGACTTTCGCTTAGGTCATGATCTCGCGGTTCGTGGGTTCGAGCCCTGCGTCGGGCTCTGTGCTGACTGCCAGCTCAGAGCCTGGAGCCTGTTTCAGAGTCTGTGACTCCCTCTCTCTCTGACCCTCCCCTGCTCATGCTGTCTCTCTCTCTCTCTTAGAAATAAAAAAAAATAAAAAAATAAAAAATAAAAAAAGACTCTACGTGCTAAACACTCTTCACACGTATTGCTTATGAGCTGGTAAATTCTTATCTCTATTTTGCAGCTAGAAACCAGGCACAAAGAGGTTAACTAGCTTACCCAAGGTTACATAACTAGGAAGTGGCTAATAATCAGCTAGTTGATAAGGGCAACAATGAAGGAGAGCAACTAATAAGATCAAGGGCTCTGAGGCCACATTGCCCTGGTACGCACGTACTCTGGAAACTAGGAAGACATTAAAAAAATAAAATAAAATAGGGAACACTTATTAAACAGTTACTGTATGCTATGCCACTTATATGTATTCACTCTGCTAGAAAAGGCACTATTACTCTCATTTTGCAGAGAAAAAAACTGTCATTTTTAGTAAACAAAATAATGCCCCCCCATGTCCATACTCTTAATTCCTAAAATCTGTGAGTATATTACCTTATATAACAAAAGGGACCTTGCAAGTGTAATTAAAGATGCTGAAAAGAGGAGACTAACCTAGATTATTACTTGGGTGGGTCTAAGTAATCACAAGGGTCCTTC